CCCAACAATAAGCTCCAATTTCAGATACACTATAAGTCGGTTCTTTAACACTTATGAACTACAGAGGCGTTAGTGCAGTTATAGCAACACTATCTCACCTGTAAAGCAAGAAGCTGCGCGTCCCAGGACCAATCTAAAATTTGGCGTGTATGGACCTGAGATGACCTAATACCACAGGATAGCAGTGGTCTTGGTTGGCTGTACAAACAAAGATTTCCAGCACACGGTGTTTAAGCTTCTTTATTATTTACAGTTACTCGTTACAGCAAGTAGACTCACAACAACGTCCTCCTCATCTTGCGCGTCGGCGGGGTCCTTGTAGTACAGCGAGACCAGATGCGTGGCCAGCCGCCGGTCGAACACCTCGTCTTGCGGGTCCAGCACTAAGAATATCAGGTCGAATCTGGAAACCAACCAAAAGAGGTAAGAATGATACTTTTTGAAGACAAAAAGACTTATTCAGGGAAGTGTAGCCATAAGTGGTGTATGGTTGGACTACCACTACCATATTTGGGACAAGCAAACCCATCCTAAATGGCAGGTTTTTAATCATCCAGAAAGAAAGTAATGATTAGAGAATGCGAACATTATTGATAATCATTGCCAGCGTCACTTCAGCCACAGGACGTCCACTGCTGAACATAGGCCTCCCCAAATGATTTCCACATCCACCGGCATCCTGCTACCTCCATAAGGTCGTCGGTCCACCTTGTGGACGTCGTTATCTCCCAGCATTTTTTTTTATTAGGCTATCAGCAGTTACCTGGACATCAATGTATGTGGTAGCTGTACATTCTCAACAATGGTCTTATTTTTATTCCACTGAGATTCGGCGGGGTTGGCGGCTGCTAGGATCGACGTGCGTGCGTTCAGTTGGCAGATAATACCCGCTTTGGCGATAGACAAGGTCTGCTGCTCCATTACCTGAGAATAAAAAAGATAATATTTTTGTTCTGTACATAAATTCGTTCTTTTTGTTCGTTCGTTCGTTCGTTTCAGCCGAAAGACGTTCACTGCTGGAAAAAGGCCTCCCCCAAGGATTTCCACAAAGACCGGTCCTGCGCCGCTCGCATCCAGGCACCTCCCGCGACCTTCACCAGATCGTCGGTCCACCTAGTGGGTAGTAGTTCTTTTTGTAGTGATATAAAATTTTTAGGTAGTTGTGGTTTGATGTGTGTTGGGAACCGATAGGACCAACCTCTTTTTGACATTATCTATGTTTAGTGTCCGACCGAATATGGATTTTCAGCCGAAAACGGAAACGAAAACGAAGCTTCGGCTGCAGTCTCATTTTCGGCCGAAAACGAAAACGAAAACGAAAA